GGATAATTTACAGTTTTTTTGTAAAAAGTTGTTTTATTTTTAACACTCAATCAACACAATTTAATTTTTGTTCAAAAATAGTGATAAATAATTGAGCCATAACATTTTTTTATTAAATTTCTATTCATAATTATATATTTTTTTAACAATAGAAGTGTTTCGCTTTTTTTTTCATCGGCCCTGTCGTCAAAACTACGTGAAATTAGAGTTTCGCGTCCCGTTGTTTTAGTAGTCCCTTGTTAAAATGATGGAAAAACTGGATACATAACTTCACGGAATATTCAACAAAGAATCAAGTCAAACAAGTTTAAACTAATTGATTACCCACCCTTAGGTTTAAAAGATATTTATGTGCTCCAACTAAATGTAATACAGAGGTAGATTTTATCTGCTATATTTACTGCATATATTTGTTTTCTATCATCCAAATAATTATACTGCATTATATACTGAAAAACAAATTTATGATGTTATCTTATTATAAGATATTATCATAAATTTGATAGGATATAAGATTTATATTGTGACACAAAGTTTCACCCTGTGTACACAATTTGTGTATACATGCATTTTGTGTATGCTGTTTAACTTTTATATGTCGGAATATAATAAAAGTAAACAGACATATACAGCACATTTTATGCTTTTCGTTGTATTACAGCTTTATAATACAGGGTGAAACTTTGTTAGATTTCGTTATATTACAGCTATTTAATACAGGATGAAACTTTGTTAGATTTTAGCTTCAATAGATAGAAACTTTAATAGATTTTTTAACAAAATTTGTCTGTGCATTAAATAGTAAGTTTAAAGGTAAATGTGTAATATTATATGGTACTTTTATTAATTTTATATCTTGCTGTGTAGTATATTTAAAGTGGTATTAAAATTTTAATAAGTAAATATCTAATTAAATTTAATTATTTATTCAGAATAATTCGCGAGAATCATCGCCATTTGGAAACTACACTACAGTCGTGTAGTGAGTATTAAAGATGTTTTCTCTGCTATTAATATTGTACATGGGCAGAATGGTCTGCATCTTGGGGCTTTAAAAACTTATAAGAAGTTACTAATTACTTACTGATATTTTTTTTTGTTTTATGTTGTGCTTTTTCTATTGGTATATTTACTTTTTATATGCTGTGGAAAGTATGATAATTTTATATAGCTTCAGATAAATACTAAATACCTAAAATTTTATATTTTTCTACATTTTAAAGATTTAGTTTTCAATGTAGGGTCTTGCTGTATTTATAAACTAACTTTTTTTTTATAGAATATTGAGGGTTATGCAAACATTGCAAGAAAAACAATTATTAAAACTTTCAGTTTTTATGTCTTTAATTGAATTTTTTAATTTAATTAAAAAATTCAATTAAAGACATAAAAACTTAAAAATTAAAAAATTTATTTAAAGACAATTAAATAAATTTTGAATTAAAAAATTCAATTAAAGACAATTAAACGCTTGCTATCAAACGTTGTTCCAACGTTTGATAGCAAGCGTTAGAACAACACCGTTATGCCGACGTTGGAACATCGTTGGAATTTAGTTAACTTGCGTCGCGACCAAAATACAACCAAATTACAACTACGGCTTGAAGTCTTCTTCTTACTGGGTGTATATATATATATATATATATATATATATATATATATATATATATATTTATACATATATATATATATATTTATATATATACATATATATATATATATATATATATATATATATATATATATATATATATATATATATATGTACATATATATATATATATATATATATATATATATATATATATATATATATATGTACATATATATATATATATATATATATATATATATATATATATATATATATATATATATATATATATATATATATATATATATACATATATATACATATACATATACATATATATATATATATATATATATATATATATATATATATATATATATATATATATATATATATATATATATATATATATATATATATATATATATATATATATATATATATATATATATATATACATATATATATATATAAATTTTTTTTTTAGAGTTGCTAACCTAACTATGGTCTAGAAAGTTGTTTTTTTATGTACTTATTTAGGAAAATATTTACTTTTATGGATTAAACAATGTCTTCCACCCGCAACTATAATTACAAAAAATAGCAGGCCCTATTATTATTAAAAAAAAATTTTTCAAATTATGTGATGTAGGTAGTCAAATAAAATGAAATTTTATAAAAATTTCAAAAATAATAATTTTTTTTATATAAAAATTATTATTTTAGATTTTATTTCATAATAACTATAGTTTTTTAACTAAAACTGAAAAAGGTGCTTTTTTACTAAAAACAACTTTTTTTAGTTATAAGATTTTTGTAAAACGATTATTGTTTTCAAATTTTTAATAAAATTTGGCTTCTTTTGAGTACCAGGTTGATCTACTTTTGAAAAACTTTTTTTTTCCAAAATATTTATTTATTATATTAGTAACAAGAAAAAAAAATTTTATGACCCACCCTAATTTATATATACGTAAACCGTTTATATATATATATATATATATATAGTATATATATATATATATATATATATATATATATATATATATATATATATATATATATATATATATATATATATATATATATATAAATGGCTAACACATTTTATCTGTAAAATTTAATCTCCGAGATTTAAGTGCAAATAAGTCTATAACTTTTTCTACATCAGGTACTATTTCTTTGTGAATATGCAGTAGAGCAAGATTGTTTAATCTCTTAGATGACATAGTAAATCGTGTGTAATTTTTTAATCGCTTCATGGCTGAAAACGATCTTTCATAAGAAGAAGACGTTACAGGTAATGTTTCTAAAATACGAAGGCAAACTCTGATTTTTTCAAATACATTATTAGGAAGAATTTTTAAAGTACTTGAAATGTTATCTGGCAAGCAAATATTTTCCAGAAGCTAGTACCTTTCCCACAAATCAAGTTCGGCACTTAAAGAAATTGCACATGGTAAATCAGTTACAAAAAAATTAACAAAAGTTATTATTCCAGACAAAATGATTTTTTTTGTCTCTAAAAAGATTGACTGGAAAATTAGGTTTTTGTCTCTAAAAAGATTGACTGGAAAATTAGGTTCCACCTAATTTTCCAGTCAATCTTTTTAGAGACAAAAAAAATCATTTTGTCTGGAATAATAACCAAGCCATCGTAAGCTGCCAAAGCATCATCACTAAATCTGTAATTCACTTCACCTAGAAGGTGATCAATAAGTGGAATAGATAATGATTTTTTGAAATAATCTGAAGTTGAAGAAGAAGCAACGTTATTTCTATTTATTTGACGGCTTAATATTCTTAGTTTAGCTTCTGCAACATCAACTTTAGAAGCAAGACAAATAATAGAAGCATACCACTTTATGTGATAATCATCTATTAAACTTCGAAGTGTTGAGATATAACTTTTTAAAGCTGAAATAGAACCTAAACCATCGCAAATATCAAATGTTTTACCTAGTAACATTTGTGTAACAGGAATTGTGTAGTCAAATACTGTCCGAGTTATCACTAAGGATGCAATAAAGTCAAAACTTGTAAAAAGTTTTAAAAAACAAGATGCTTGTGAAAATATCTTTTGTACATTTTGATTCTAGGTTAAAGCTCATTCCTTCAAGACAAAAAACAATTGGTACAAACAAATTTTCAAAATCATCCAACCCAGTTACGCGTTTAACCCATACTGTATGACGAACATCAATTAATTTTTTCTTTGTAGCAAGAGGGCAACGTTCTGTAATAGCTACTTCTAATAAATTTTGTCGTGATTCTGAAAAATTAAAAAATATGATAACCGTTTTGCATGCTCCATCATATTTCTAACTTTTTGTATCTTGCATAAGTTTGTAACACTAAGATTAAGACGATGACTGAAGCACTGAGTATACACTGCTTTATGGTTTAGATCTTTTATTCTTTTAACAATACCTTTAACATGAACGTAGCAAATGATGCACAGTCGTAACCCTAACCTCTGCAATTAGAAATATCAAGCAAAAAGTTTTTAAGAAAAAATAAAATAGTTTTGCATAGAGCTTCACCTGTTAAACCTAACTGACAATGTAAAAAACCCATAAATTCTTCCCTAACATCATATGATTTGTCTATAAATCTAATTACTAAAGACAATAGTTTCTGATTGGAGCAGTCAGATGCTTCATCAGCAATAATTGAAAAAAATTGATTTTCTTTTATTTTAGAAACCAAAATATTCTGGATGTACTGTCCACAATAACTTATTAATTCATTCTGTGACGAATTAGAAATATAAGATGCATTCTTTGCACAACTATTAAAATAATGTTCAAGAACTTTATCCCCACCTCTGATTCTGTAGTTTAAAAGTTCAATAAAATTACCTACTCCACCCACTACATAATATTTGCCAATAGTAGGATGATATTGAGAATCATCACAATGAGCTCTGAAAGCTATATTGAGTCGGCCTAAGAAAATGATTGAGTCAACAATTGAACGCAACTTATCGCGATTTAAAGCAATCTCTTTTTCATATTCTTTATTAATTATCTATATTTTTACCCTTTCACTCCCTGAGACCCGCACAGCGGGTCGTAACTAATATCGCGATTTTCCCTGTGATCCGCTGTGCGGGTCATTTCAACTTCTACGGTTTAAACACGGTTTTATAGTGTTTTTTGTTGTGTTCTTTACAGGTTTGGAAAATAGAATAGTTATTTCATCATAGGCTGAAAAACGTTCGTCAAAATTTATCTTAGTTAAAAAGATATAGCATTTCTAAAAATGGCTAGTTACAAAAACACTTATTCAAATATAGAAGAAATTTTAAAAATAGTTATGGATGAAAGTAGCGATGATATGGACCTTGGTGAATTATCAGCCGATCAAAGCGAACCTGAAACAGATTGGGAATACGAAGAGGAAGATATAGAGTTTGTGCGAGCTCCTAATTTACCTTTATCTAATGATTTTCAGAATAAAAACTGTTCTTCTTTACCAGAATTTTGTCAAATAAATCATGTTTATAAAATCGATATCGATGAGGAGGAGGAAGACGAAATTGAACAAAATAGTAGTGAGGAAACATACCCTAATGAGAACAAGGAGACCCTATTCTCTGATCAATTATTTGATTCCACCAGAGAAAATGGTATAGCAGAACGAAAAAGAGTAAAAGTTTGCGGTGATATTCAAAAAAACAGTGTCAATAATAAAAATCGAATACTTCTAGTTACTAACAGAGGTAAAGAAAAAAAAGGGAATAACAATCGAGGTTGTAGAGGAAGACCATTGGTTAGAAGAGGACAATCCAATGCTAGAGTTTTAAAAATTAATCAACAGGGAATTGATTTAATATCAACATGGGAGCGTGTTAAAATTGATAATACTGCAGATCCAACTATACCTTTTTTTGAACTAGAGGGACTTAGAGTAAGAATGACGCATGAAAATCCTTCTCCTTTAGATTTTGTTGAATTACATCTAACACCTAGTATTATTGAACTTATTGTAATTGAAACAAATCGATATGCTCAAGATTTTATAGATAAGAACCCGAATAAAGCAAGTAACGAGTATGTAGGAAATTGGGAACCGGTGACTGTTTTAGAAATAAAGAAGTATCTTGCTCTTGTTTTGCTTATGGGAATTATTTATAAACCTGATATTCATATGTATTGGTCTACATCTGAATTTTTTAGCACTCCAATATTCTCAAAAATTATGTCACGCACTCGTTTTCAACTGATTTTGAAGTTTTTACACTTCAACAATAATAATGATCCAAATTATGATGTAAATGACGAAAACCGTGATCGATTACACAAAGTACGACCATTAATTGAACTAATTAGAGACCGATGTAAAAATGTATTCTGCCCCGGACAAAATCTTAGTGTTGACGAATCACTTGTTCTTTTTAAGGGACGGTTGCATTTTAAGCAATATATTCGTACAAAAAGAGCACGATTTGGCATAAAACTATATGGTGTATTGTGGTAAAGGTATGTTTTATGAAGACGGAAATGAGGATATGCCCAGCACTGAGAGAATACCAGCTGCACTTATGGAACCTTTTTTAGATAAAGGACATATACTGTTTACAGATAACTACTACACAAGCCCTTCATTAGCAATTTTTCTTTTAGGAAGAAACACACACCTTTGTGGGACAGTTAAATCAAATAGAAAAAAGTACTGTAAAGAAATTGCGGAGTTTGCGTTAGAAAAAGGAGAGGCTGTGTTCTATCGATACACAATTGATTCACGTGTTATTGCATGTAAATATCGAGCTGTCAAAAATAAATCAGGAAATAAACAGAAGGTTGTATATATGTTGTCAACTTGCCATTTAGCAAAAATGATTGAAACTGGTAAAACCTATGCAAATGACTCTGCAATATACAAACCATCAATAGTGCGATCATATAACAGTCACATGGGAGAGGTTGACAGAGTGGATCAACAGTTACATAGTTTACGAACATTACGTAAAAGTTATAAGTGGTACAAAAAATTAGCATTTAGAATGATTTCACAGGTGATACTAAATGCACATAAAGTTTTTCAACACGAAACTGGAAAATCTAAAATAACATTCCTTGATTTTTAGCATGAAACTATTTCATCTTTAGCACTAATCAATCCAGCTATACCAAACAACCAAATACTAGATGATACATTATCTCGTCTTACTGGCAGACATTTTCCTTCGCTCAAAGTAGCTTCACCAGATGCAAAAGAAAAAAGACCAACCAAAAGATGTAGAGTGTGCTATGCAAAAGGAAAACTATCAGCTAAATGTCAACCACTAAAAACTACATATGTTTGTCGATTTCGCCCATCTGAACCAGGGCTTCACCCAGACACTTGTTTTGAAGCTTACCACACTCAAGTTAATTATTTATTATAGTTTGTTTTGTTTGTATTGGCAGACTTAATCTTTCTTTTTTTTTTCATTCTACAAACATAATAAAAAATTTAACTTAAAAATAACGGTTTTTTCAAAATTCTTATATTTTTAGAATCTCTCCTTTTTCCAGAGTTTTTGTGTTAAACCTTTTTTTTTTTTGCTATGAACTAATAGATTGATTCTAAACTGTTTTTAATTACGTTTAATTTGTTTATAACGTAATATTTTGGTTTATTTTTGGATTTTACTCCAAAAAAGCAAAATTTTGATTAATGTCAAAGGCCGTTTTTTGAGTCATGTGACGTCTTATAAGTGTCATAAATATATATTTTTTCCATATTTTGTTAGATTAATGTATTAGTAAAAAAGGGGCCAAGTTTCACATAGAATTGCTCATTATTTTAGTCACTATAAGCTTTTAAAGTGTTTGAGTCAGAAACGGGAATTTTGACTCTGGAAATATAGCGGAAATATCCCGGGAGAGAAAGGGTTAAATATCTATAAAATATCTATATATAAAATATCTATATTTTAAATATTTCCATTCATAGTATTTAAAACTGTGGAAATGATAGTCCAGTTAAAATAATGGAGACTTTGTACAGCTAAGTGATGTTCATAAATGTGTCCTTTTTTCCCATGATAATATCTATTAAAAGTGCATACAGCATCTGGCCAGTATTTAAATGGCTGAGAATACAAATTTTTACATCTAGACGCTTTTGAAGGGTAATTATATCCAAACAAAACGCAACACAAACAAATGCTCCATCTTCAGAAGGTAAATATATGAACCATGAAAATTGTTTTAACCATAAAAGTTTGAAAGATCGCCCTTTTGTTTTTGGAAAAGAATAAATTTTATCAGGAACAAAAAAATTTCGAATCAAATTTTTTATTTGTAAATCTTTTAAAGTAGAACCTTCCAACGAAAACATGCAATATCATATTCACTACAGAGTTCACATAATAATTTCTTTAAACTAGACTTAACAACCAAATTTTCAGTGAATAAGATGCTTTTGTTTTTAGTATTAGAACTATTTTGATTTGAAGATAATGTATTATTTGCATAAAATGATTTTGAATCAATAAAAGAATTGCAAACAATATTTTTATGAGAAGAAGACATACACTTTTCGTTGACAAGTGTACATGAAACAGATTTATCATTAATGGTAAATATAGATGATACTTCAACATATTATATTTTTCTGCAAATATATGAACTGTTGATTGATTGGTAAAATTAACTTTTTTACAGATTTTACGTTTCAAACATTTCTTATCTGAAATGAAATCAAGAGGCACATAAAGATTGTGTTTATATGGACATGGAGGGTTTATTCCTTCAAAATAAAATAACAAATTAACAATATCTGAGGATGAACATAGAATAAACATAATTTTATATTTAAGGAGAAAACCAATTGTTCTATAGTAACACTGAACTCTTGTAGAACACACAGTTAAAAGAGCAAAAACACAAAGAAACCTAGACAATACAAAATCTTTACGCAAATAAAATGCTTCTTCCATAACAAGGTCATCTTTCAATTTTCCTGAGTCTATAAAATGTGTGGATACAGACACTGCTAACAAATTATTAATTGATGAAAACTCATTTGGATACTTTGAGCACAAGCTTACAAACGTTGGATGATTACTGTAAAAAAAGGCATTTAAATATAAATCAATTGCTGTCTGTATTCTTGAATCCATTGCCAGACTGTTGTCACCACACAGATAAATCGAAAATGAACGAAATAAGCAATTGCGAGTTGATTCAGATCTGTAAAAAAGGCAGTTATTAATTTTTAAGTAAAAAAACTTTACAATAGGCTCAATGGAAAAAAAAAACTGGATTTAATCATTTATTTACAAATAATCAGTTTCGTCAAAAGTTAAACCAATTAAATCAAGGCAAAAATTGTATTTCATAATATTATTTACTATTTAAATTCACATTCTCAAAAGTAAAGTAAAGCTTACTCTACTTTTGAGAATGTGATTTATTTTTAAATTTCTCTTTATTGACTTATGAACAGTTAGCAACTGATAAAGATCTGGCTTATGAAGGAGATTATTCTTTATTGAAAATTCTGAATAAAGAGTTTGTAAATCTTCAATTAATCCATTCTCAAGCAAATACCTTACAGAGAAATGCACGCCATATCAAAAATTATTTAAAACATTTAAAGAATTACTGTTACAATGGGTTTCTTTTAAACTAATCAGGGGGCGATTATCAGTACTGATTTTAATTTAATTCGACTAACTTGGCCTGAAGTTACGCCACCGAACGATAAAAACAAAACAATTTTAAGTACTTTGACGACTTTTTTAAATCTCGTCAGCCGTATAAACGGGCCAGATAAGTCGCAATATTTCTTGACTAACTTGGTCCAAAGTTACGACACTGAAAAAAAAATTACAAGCCGCTTATGTATATTTCTTGACAGACGGTTATACAAGCTGTGAAACAAGGCGCACGGCGCGGGGCTAGTGAGTGCGCATATACTTATCTTAGTTTATTAGGTATTGCTGTGAAGACCAAAAAAATAGAGATTTTTTTTTTCAAAATTCTCAAAAATATATATAAACATATACCAAATATATATAAATATACCAAAAAAGATGTTGCTCAACCCGCCCCTGTATATATATATGTATATATGTATATATATATATATATATATATATATATAATATATATATATATATATATATATATATATATATATATATATATATATATACATGTATGTATATAGCTATTTAGGCTTTCGCAAAAATTCTCATAAAAGCATAATAATCATTTTCAATAAATTAAAAAAAATTTAAATAAGAAGCAGCTCGCACAAAAAATGTCACTTAACTAATGTTTACAGAAAACATTCTAAAAATTTTTTTAACTTTTAAGTCAGATTTTTAAATATTAGTAAAACGGTTTGAATTGGAATTTTTACCATATGTTTAGACTTCTATGCGAATATAAAAAATATATAAATATCAATCAGAGGTGATCGGCTAAGGAAAACAACCTTATTTTTTTGATACAATTATTAAATTATTATCATAAATTTTCTATATCTATTATTAAAAGTTGGATTTTTTAGAGTTACAAAAGAATTGTAATTTATTGCATGTATTGAACTTTTCATTAAAAGTAATTAACAAAAGTAATTTTAAAATGGTGGCAATCCTGAGTGATTTTATAACGTTAATTAAATTATCAAATTAAAAACAATTTTTTCCGCGAGTCCATAAGCAACTTGAAAAAATTACTTAAGTATGACAACTTCATTAAAAATTACTAGCAGCAAGCAACCCGTAATACGCGTTGTTAGTAAATAAAATTAAAAAAAAAAACCGTGTATAGAAAAGCCAAGTAACTACTTTAAAATAGAAAAGCCTAGAAAATGACGCAACTCGACTAATAATATTAATGACGTAAAAATGACGTAACTCGACTAATATTAAATTAGCGTATTCATATTATCAGATAATGACATTTAACAAGGAAAATCTTTAGTTGGTAAAAAATTTTACTTACACTTCTTATGTTTAAGCGCATTTTCTTTATTTTATTAGGTTTTATTTTAAAAATTGCTGATCTCAAACTGTTAGAGGTCTTTAGAGTATATTGCTATTTTTCACTAAAAGAACAATAATTTCGGTAGACAAGAAAAAGGTTCTTTATTTCTAAATTTGGGCTGTGCTCAAATACCGTTGGCGCTGTTGAAAACGATCTAAAACAGCCCTTGATATATATATGTATATATATATATATATATATATATATATATATATATATATACATATATATATATATATATATATATATATATATATATATATATATATATATACACATATATATATATATATAAATATATATATATATATATATATATACATATATATATATATATATACATATATATATATATATATATATATATATATATATATATATATATATATATATGTATATATATATATAAATATATATATATATATGAATATATACATATATATACATATATATATATATATATATATATATATATATATATATATATATATATATATATATATATATATATATATATATATATATATATACATATATATAAAGGGCTATTTTAGATCGTTTTTAACAGCGCCAACGGTAGCAATATACTCTAAAGACCTCTAACAGTTTGAGATCAGCAATTTTCTGCCAACCTAATTTTTCCTAATTCCAAGGGTTGTTTATATATATATATATATATATATATATATATATATATATATATATATATATATATATATATATATATATATATATATATATATATATATATATATATATCACAGTGTTATAAAATAGGTTCTAACCTTAACTTTCTTACCCGGGAAAACCCTTTGGCGGAATGATAGCCCTTACTATGGGGATCACTTAGATATAAGTATCAAAATCAGATTACAACGTCCTGGCAAGTTATTTACATTTGAATTTTCATCCTAGTTAACACAAAACGTGTTTTAAACGTTTAATATACGTATTGATACGTATTAAAACGTATTATAAACGTGTTAAACACGTCTTGCGTTTAATAAAATACTTTATTGATTGCACAAATATGCAATATGAGCCTTATTTTCCTTTTTGTAGTATTAAAAATCTCCAATTTACATAAATATAAACAAGGAAAGCAAAATAATATATTCTTGAAGTTATACAAGTAACAAACATAAAATATATTGATTGCACAAACATGCGGAATGACAGCTTATTTTGCATTTCTACATACCAAAACTATGATTAGTTTGTAAAAACTGCTTTAATTGATATATATCAATTACTAAAACAAAGAAAACAAACAGATTTCCTGCATTCTTGGTGGTTTTTAGCAGTATTTGGCATTTTCTGTAAAATTAGATGTGCTCAGTTTAGCTCTCATTAGTAAAGTAAAAACAACGTGCTTTTACCCAGAATTCAAAAGTAAAAATTT